TATTAAGTTTGTTATTCTGAATTGTAGACTTGTATGTATTTAATATTACATTTATATTACTGTTGTTATTTTTTTCAAATATAAATGTTAACTACAACTATCAGCTGATTTTGTTGTTACTACATCATGTGAGGATAAAAAAATAACCAGGAAATCCTTGATTACATTAATTTATCTCCTAAAATTTCTGTGATATCAGGTAATTGGTGACTTAATTTGTAGACGAAGAATTTATTATAAATATGGAAAATTATGTGATAAAAGGCCTGTATTCAAGGATGATAAAGTTGTTGTTTATGTTACAGGCCGAGATGTTATTGCTCAAGCCCAGTCTGGAACTGGCAAAACAGCAACCTTCTCCATAGCCATTCTAGAACAACTCAAGGTTGACTTCCCAGAATGTCAGGCCCTTGTCCTAGCCCCCACAAGAGAATTGGCTCAACAGGTAATTAACAGAAATAGTTTACAGTTTTAGCTATTCTACCATTGTAGGGAAGGTCATTGGATTACCTCTTCCTGCTTGTGCCTTGAAATAATAAAAAATGCAGGGCAAGGCACCTATGGTTTAAGCAGAAAAGTTGATGTATTACAAGTTACAATACAACTGTAATCAAAATAACATAGATAAAGTTTATTGGACAGGAATTGGATTATTTGTCTTTTTGTGTCGCCTCTACGGAGTAGTGGCGACATATAGGGATCACTTCTCCGTCGTCTGTCTGTCCGTCTGTCTGTCTGTCTGTCTGTCCGTCACAAAACTTGTCCGGACTACTCCTCATCAACTACTGGTGCAATTTCATCCAAACTTTACAGGAATGATCAGTACCAAGTCTAGTTGTGCATATTGTCAGCATTTTCCGGTTCAACGATTTTTGTCAGAGTTATGGCCCTTTAATAATTTTTAATTTTAAAGTTTGTCCGGACTACTTCTCTTATACCACTAATGCAATTTCAATGAAACTTTACAGGATTGATCTGTAGCTCAAGTCCTTGCGCATATTGCACGGGTTTTCCGGTTGAATGATTTTTGGCCGAGTTATGGCCCTTTGATAAAAAGGTTTCTTTTTCTGTGTGTTGCCAGATACACAAAAGCTTGTCCGGACTACTTCTCATCAACTACTGGTGCAATTCCATCCAAACTTTACAGGAATGATCAGTACCAAGTCTAGTTGTGCATATTGTCAGCATTTTCCGGTTCAATGATTTTTGTCAGAGTTATGGCCCTTTAATTATTTTTGTTTTTAAAGTTTGTCCGGACTACTTCTCTTATACCACTCATGCAATTTCAATGAAACTTTACAGGATTGATCTGTAGCTCAAGTCCTTGCGCATATTGCACGGGTTTTCCGGTTGAATGATTTTTGGCTGAGTTATGGCCCTTTGATAAAAAGGTGTTTTTTTCTGTGTGTTGCCAGATACGCAAAAGCTTGTCCAGACTACTACTCATAAACTACTGGTGCAATTTTATCCAAACTTTACAGGAATGATCAGTACCAAGTCTAGTTGTGCACTGTCCGTCTGTCTGTCTGTCTGTCACAAAATTTGTCCCAACATGAAATTTGCCTTCATGAGGCGACACATGTGATTACTGATCGCTCTTTTATAGCTTTTATCATGAAATTGAAACAAGCAAGAATTTTTTCATTATTGTGTAGGAAGAGAAATAGAAATATGGACACACAATTAAAAAATGTAGGATTTGTTAAACAGAAAAATATCTTCTATAGAAAAATAAAATATGAATGCCCTTAATTTATTGACCTGTCCTCTGTCATGATAGCATCTCTTATTTTAAAGGTTATATTGTGCCTAATCTTGCAGATAAAGCCAAAGTTTATAAATATTGTATTTTGTCTTTCCAGATTCAAAAAGTAATGATTGCTTTAGGAGATTATATGGGGGCACAGTGCCATGCCTGTATAGGTGGCACTGCTGTACGTGATGACGTACAGAAATTACAGAGTAGCACGGTGCATGTGGTTGTAGGCACTCCTGGCAGAGTACATGATATGATAAATAGAAGAGCACTAGGTAATATAACAATACAAGAAATACATGAGCCTTGTCACGACAAAACCAACATAATGGGTTTGGGACCAGCATGGATCCAGACCAGCCTGCGCATCCGCAGTCTGATCAGGATCCATGCTGTTTGCTATCAGTTTCTCTACTTGTAATAGCATTGGTGAAAGTTTTCAGGATTATTATTCGTGAAGTTCAGGATTTTCAGTTTCCTGAAAGCCTTCTATTTCCTATGTAAAAATATAGAAAACTGCTAAATTCAGGATTTTTAGAATTTCTAACTTTCACCCATGTAATAGAGTTGGTAAGCGAACAGCATGGATCCTGATCAGACTGCGCGGATGCACTATGTTGCTTTTGTCGTGACGCGGCTCATATCATATCAACTACCTGCAATTGCAGTCTCTATATTTGTGGTTGGAATATAAGATTGCTAAAACCCTATGCAATCCTATATTGTATGTGTAAATTCCAAGTCTTGTTTAATGTTTGGACCATTTTCTCAAGAATTATTTCTCACAGACCTTTTGGTAGATAATTTTGATGAAATAGTGTTCATCTGAATTGTTATAAAAAACATCACCTAACATTTGGTACAAAAATGTAGGCATGGCTCTGTACTTGTGATATATACATGTTATTATCATAAATGATTAAAAGGGTTAAATATGGTTGAATTTCATTTGTAGATCCAAGAAGTATAAAGATGTTCGTACTAGACGAAGCTGATGAAATGTTGTCTCGTGGATTCAAGGATCAGATTTATGATGTGTTCAGATACATGCCTCAAGATATTCAGGTGATTATTAGTACTTACACGAGAATGTGATAAACTTTATGTGTATATATATATTTTCAATATATTGTTTTACTCACAAGATAGATTAGTTTCATCAGGTTTTCTGAAACTTGTAAATTAATGAGAAATGTTTATCAAGAAAACTGAATGTTTGATAAAGCTAATTAAAAGAAGATTCCTGTATGAATTAATATGGTTTGTCGCTTGACTTATCAACAGTACTTGAGGTTGTACCTGGTTATGGTCAAATATGACACTAAAATGAAGTCTGAATTATTAAAAACAGCAGCTACAAAATTATCTTATAATACAGTTATTTTTTACTACAAGCAGTTACTAATGCTTTGGCACCAGGTTAATCCTATTTTACATCAATATAATGATATGTTTGCCAGAAACTGGTAAATGATAGGCAGTTGAGCTGATTATTTGAGAAAACCTTGTATGTTGTGGTGATAGGGCACAGCTTATTGATCTTTTACATGTGCTTCATATGTATATGAGAAACATAAACAAATGAAACATTCAAAATGCTTTATCTTTGTAATAAATATTACATACACATTTTATATATTAGTATATATGTGAATTTTATCCTTGAATTTCAGGTTATCCTGTTGTCTGCCACTATGCCAGATGAAGTGTTAGAAGTAACTAAAAGGTTCATGAGAGAACCTATACGTATTCTAGTTAAAAAAGAAGAATTGACCCTTGAGGGTATTAGGCAATTTTATATTCAAGTAGAAAAAGAGGTAAGCATGTGACCGAGTAGTTCGAGTAGATTTTTTGTTATTTCTTAATATGATAATGTTGGGTTGATTTTTGTTTGCATTTCTAATTGACGTAATTTAATTAAGATTGTTATGAAGCAAATTGGTAACCCTTACAGTGCTTCAATGACAAACTTTCAGTGCTTTTGTAATTTGCATTCCAAAGAACTAGTAGGTCTTAAGATTTATTGTATCACAATCATGTGAAAACATTAAAAGTTAAGCACGTATTTAAAGAATCGTGTAGCTGAAGGATTAGTAGAACTTCCCAAAAGCACCAGTTTATTCATGTTGGGTAAATTGGCCGTCAAGTGGAAGAATATTAAGTAGAGACTGACTTTTGGGTGAGGTGGAAATATTTCATGTTGTTTTCATCTCAATAAGTCAACCTACATTTTATTTGGTCTCATTCATTTAACATTGTGAGACTTTGCTATGACGTTCAGTTTATCTTCTTAATTAAACTGGTTATACATGATTTTTAAACACTACTTTTAGCTTGATAAATACTCCTGCTATTTAGTATTTATTTTTCATACCTGTTGTGTGAAGTTGTTTCACCTAAATTATGTAATGGTTTTAAAAAAACCTTCCCAAAAGCACCAGTAACTTTTTATTTGCTTTGCTGGCCGTCAAGTTGGAAGAATATTAAGTAGAGATCGGCTTTTGGGTGAGGTGGAAATAACTTTCCAATTGTTTTCATCTCAATAAGTCAACCTACAAATGATTTTGTTTTAATAATTCAATACATTAAATCGTTATTAAGATGAAAGAGTCAGAGGAAATTACTTCAAACACTTGTCCTTTGATTTTGTTTTAATAATTCATTACATTAAATCGTTATTAAGATGCAAGGGTCAGAGGAAATTACTTCAAACACTTGTTGTCCTTTTTGCTTCGAGTAAAAATAGACTTGAATATTACTGAAACAACTATGGTGTTCTCTGTAGTAAACTTTAAAGTAACCATTCAACCTTGTCATTGGTCCATTGACTTTCCCAGCATGCAAGGTCTTCCCAAAAGCACCAGTTTATCTTGAAAGGTTTATTGGCCGTCAAGTTGGAAGAATATCAAGTAGAGATCGGCTTTTGGGTGAGGTGGAAACATTCTTGTCGTTTTCATCTCAATAAGTCAACCTACATATAATTCTGTTTTAATAATGCAATACATTGATACATAGGGGCACAATAAGGCAAATGTTAGAGGATACGACTATTAATCACTTGTCCTTATGACTGTGGATAAAAATCGACTTTGAACACATGAAGCTGGCTTGGATTTTACAAAGAGAGCCATCTGTGGCAATCCCTCTAGTAAAGTTGAAAGTAACCATTCAACCTTGTCAGTTAATCTAGTACTTGGTCAACTTGCTTTTTCCACAAATAGTATGCAATGTCTTCCCAAAAGCACCAGTTTATCTTGAAAGGTTTATTGGCCGTCAAGTTGGAAGAATATCAAGTAGAGATCGGCTTTTGGGTGAGGTGGAAACATTCTTGTTGTTTTCATCTCAATAAGTCAACCTACATATAATTCTGTTTTAATAATGCAATACATTGATACATAGGGGCACAATAATTATAAGGCAAAGGTTAGAGGATACAACTATTAATCACTTGTCCTTATGACTGTGGATAAAAATTGACTTCTAACACATGAATCTGGTTCGAATTTTACAAAGAGTGCCATCTGTGGCAATCCCTCTAGTAAAGTTGAAAGTAACCATTCCACCTTGTCAGTTAATCTAGTACTTGGTCAACTTGCTTTTCAACAAATAGTATGCAATGTCTTCCCAAAAGCACCAGTTTATCTTGTAAGGTTTATTGGCCGTCAAGTTGGAAGAATATCAAGTAGAGATCGGCTTTTGGGTGAGGTGGAAATATTTCATATTGTTTTCATCTCAATAAGTCAACCTACAAAAGATTTTGTTTTAATAATCCAATACGTTAAAATGGTTATAAAGATGAAAGGGGGCTCTGAGGCAAAAAGGGTCTAAGAAAATGACTTACTATGAGTAAAAATATTCTGCTTTGAGTTAAAATATACATGTACTTAAATGCTCGAACCTGGCTTGGATAAGAGTATCATCTGTGGTGTTCCCTCTTGTAAACTTGAAATGAACAGTGTTTCTACTACTTGGTCCACTTACTTTTCCACAAATAGTATGCAATGTCTTCCCAAAAGCACCAGTTTATCTTGTAAGGTTTATTGGCCGTCAAGTTGGAAGGAAATCAAGTAGAGATCGGCTTTTGGGTGAGGTGGAAATATTTCATATTGTTTTCATCTCAATAAGTCAACCTACATTATTGAAGTATCTCTTATACATATTGGGAGTGTTCTGTTATGGTTTAGGCAATTTATGTATTACATTTTTAATGTCTTCCCAAGATCACCAGGTTATCTTTATTAGCTTAACTGGCGTATAAACGGAAGTAGATTAAGTAGAGATCGGCTTTTGGGTGAGGTGGAAACATTCTTGTTGTTTTCATCTCAATAAGTCAACCTACAGATTGATACATTTTGGATAAATTAAATTTATTTACGCAGTAATATCAGTGATAAGTTAGAAGTGGCCCAGTACCATGAATCACTTGCTTATTGTCATTTTAGATTTAAATAGCATATGGGATGTTTAATTCTTCCATCTGAGAAAAGTTTGTGCTTCATATTTTCTGCTAGTGTCTATTAATGCAAGAATTAATGCATTGAACTTATGTTTGAAAGGCTGTCCTGTAACCTTATAAGCATAAATGTATGACAGAAATAATCAAGAGTGCTCATTTCTCTGTTTATTATTTCAGGAGTGGAAGTTGGATACTCTATGTGATTTGTATGAGACTTTGACAATTACCCAAGCTGTGATCTTCTGTAATACACGTAGGAAGGTAGACTGGCTCACTGAGAAAATGTTGTCTAGAGACTTCACCGTGTCTGCCATGGTAAGTATTCTATACCCTTTATTAAACACCTTTGACACACCTTTCATTAATAGGAATGTATATAGAGAATACAAAAGAATTTCAGAAAATTTAGCAAACAAAATCGTGAGAATATGAAAGTAACAAAGAACAAAATATGAGACAGTAGTGCTTCAAATATTGTAACTTAATGAAAATTTTGTGTTTCTGGTAGTAACTTGAGTTATTATTAGATATACACAATGCCTTAACAACATTCATTTTGTTTTCTCATCTATAAAGTTTGGTTTCAAGTATGTCACAGCTATGTTTGTGTTTTGTTTGTAGCACGGAGATATGGATCAGAAGGAGCGTGATGTTATCATGCGTGAGTTCCGTACCGGCTCCAGCCGCGTACTTATCACTACTGACTTGCTTGCACGTGGCATTGATGTGCAACAAGTTTCTCTGGTCATCAACTACGATCTGCCAGCCAACAGAGAAAACTACATTCATAGGTAATGTTTATAAAGACTTTCATACAAATTCTAATCTATGCACCAGTCATATGTGACCACATTCCCCAACTCCTGCAGAATAGCGAGGAGTTTACATGTAATGTCACACTCCAGGCCTGGAGGTTATAAAGAAATTCTCCAAATTCAAACTCATATCTAGGGTATTTGATTGGTCAAAAACTGTCGCAGAATGTTTAATGACCAATATTAAAAATCCTGAGATTTGAGACAGAACTTTAACAGAAGTTTTTTAACATCGAGGCCAGGTAAAGGTCTTGTCCTGATTGATCGATTGATTTTCTTTAGACCGGGCGGTCAAGGATAACCTACGAAAGTGCATGCACTTATTTCCAGTAGGGTCCTTACCTCAGCAGACTGTAGACAGCTATGAGATGCAAGGGAATCCGGGAACCAGTCCCTAGCTCTTATTGAATAGATTCCTTGGTTCTTTTACATGCCCAGTGTATAGCACTGATACATGCGAGGATTGCCTGTGTTTCTTACCAGTAACCTCTAGTTAGGTGGGAAACACTGGAAGTGTTTCTGAAAAATTACAAGGGTGTTACCCAGGATCGAACCCAGAACCTCAGGAGTGACAAGTCAGTGGTCTAACCAACTGAGCTATCGCGCCACCTGTACTTCAGTAAATCCTGAAGTAAACCTTTGCTAAAGCACCTACTCTGACAAAGGGACATACACTTACTATTAAGGTGCCAGAAAACAATACTTCATTGATCTGGCATTATGAATTTGGATTATTTCCTCCACTTCCCCGATACTGCTGTATTAAGAGGGAAAGAAGGGAGTAGGGACAGGGCTTAAAATTGACTGGCGCTTTACTTACATAGATACAAATTCCTAGTCGCTCTTGTTTAAGACAACTGAATGCATTTTAAAGTGTCATGACAGTGCATGGTAGCTGTTATGTCTCATTCAGATGCTAGAGTAATGAAACAGTTTACATACCAGCATCAGTTTGTATGTGATGCTGGTTTACAAAGATTGGTACATTAAGTCAACTTTTATTGGCACTTTTGGCTTTATTCATTTATCAGTTTATGATAGCAGTCATGATATTAAGGGGAAACTTGGATTTTAAAGTAATTTTTGTAGAAATGTTCATTTGATAATTGAATTGTTGAAGAAATTTAAGACATTAATCATTTTAATGGATAGCAGTAAAGAATAAGGAAAATACAGACCCCTGTTGATAGGTTCTCAAGATCAGTGACTTCAAATTGTTGCCCTTTGCTTTGTTAGAACAAATTTCTTTAACATGCAAACATGTAAGCTAGTTAAGTAGTGGCATTCATTCTATCCAGGGCTGGTGTTTGTAGCCTTGTACGTGAAGTAGTACATATAGGGCAACAGGGGTCTTTATTCATCATTAAAACATAAAAATTGCTAATGTATAATTTATCGTAAGATGAGAAAAACTGTTTTAAAAAAATCTGCTAAACTAATATTTGTCTTGTGATTTTCAGGATTGGTCGTGGAGGACGATTTGGTAGGAAAGGAGTTGCAATAAACTTTATAACTCGGGAGGACGAAAGAACTCTACGAGACATTGAACAATTTTATAACACTCAAATTGAGGAAATGCCCATGAACGTCGCTGATCTCATCTAGATTATTTGGCTGATTACGAGTTGTTTCCGCGCGCTTATTTCACTATAATAAAATATAGTCATTGGTACCGAGATTTGGAATATTGTGGAAATTGTTGTTTACGCCCTTGGTACCGGTGATTTCTTGATTATTGCAAACTTTTAGTGTCGGTTGTCTGCTTGCAGACAAAATTATATATATTGATTACAGTGATACATTGCGAGGGATACGATTTACATTCAGTTGAATACAGCGATTTTTGAGAACAGTTGAATTTGGACTCCCCCTGGGCATTTAGTGCTTTTTAGGGAGAATTTTTTTTAATTAATTCAATGTTAATGTTATAATATTTGTGTATATACATCAATTGTACTTGTTAGGAATTTCTTTATCTATGTATTTTGTCATGTGAGCTATTGAATATTAGTGCGTTTCTGTGGTAAAAGAGGGAGAGTTTCCCTTTTTGGGACACGTTCCCCCCTTTGGGGGCCCCTTTCTGGGCTCTTATTTGATCCTTCAAAATTTAGCCTCAGAGTTGCTGTAAATATATATATAATTGTTTAGTGCTGCTGTATATTGAGCTGTTATTCCAAACACAACATATTTCACCATAAATACTTCTCTTACCTTTAATTTATTGCAGTTTTTTTATGTTACAGTGTTTGTTTCTCTAGATTAGAAAAATGGAATTGCCTCTTTATGACCATTGCACGGAATGTGCCTCTAGTTGGAAGCTGGTATATTGTGAGGTCTACGATAATACAAATCATGTAAAGCGCTATCAACAACAAATAATTCAAAGCCATAGGTGTATTAAAAAATTATATAATTTCAAATTGTTGTTTGATTATTTATTTCCACTTTAATCATTTCCACTATTACAGTTATGTAAAGAATTCCTTGTGCTGATAAAAAAAGAAGTTGCATGTGCTTAATTGTCGTTATAGAACAATTAAGGATTGACCAGGTTTGCCGACTGAATCCTGCAGTTGATATTGAATTTAAGGAAATCAGCTAAAGTGGTTCTACTTTAATACATGCTTTAACAAAAATTGCAAAAATGTAAAGATAGTTTTGAACTAGCCAAGGGCATTGGTATTATTTGAAGGTCTTGTCACTCGCTCAATAACAATAGTTCTACTGCTGTATGGGAGTGTGGAACTAGGTCTGGAGAGTCTCCCAAGAGTTTTAAACAACTGGAGCAGACTAATGATAGTTTGTGTGGAGGCAAAACACCTGGCCGTATAAAAGATTTCAAGTTTCACATAAATCTGCAATTACATCAGAAACCAAGACGTGCCATATCTTAAAGTAACAAAGAAAGCCTCTAGATGAATGGGTAATAGAAATATTAAATTCAGTCCTACCTACATTGTTGAAGAATACTGAACACATTTCTGGAAATTATTTTTGGAGAGTTTAAAGTTGTTAATCATTTGGGTGGATGGGGCTTAATTCAATTGTTACAATCAAGGCTTCATATTGAACTCTGTACATGAATTAATTTTAATTTATTTGTCATTCATATTTGTCCTTTTTGTAAGTTGAAATAAAGGTAAAAGCTGCCAAGATGGTATATGCAGATTTTCAAGGCTGTCTGAGCATAAAGGGTAAACATTTGATCTGGAACCAATATTGATTCCATTTTGTCAGGTAATCAAAGATTCTTTTCCTATGGGATAGAATTATTGACTTCCACAATCATACTAGTCACAACTAACAAAATACACTACACAACACCATTGCTTTTGAGACAAATGTTACTTTGAGAAGAAAGATAATAATTGTGAAATATGGTTGCTTTAAGGGTCCCTCCTCAAGAGACTTATGCAATCAAAACAACAAATAAGGTTTGAGATCTCTCAAAGAACACCTTTTTTAGTCAGTGTTTGATACAGTGAGAAAATGTGCAGCCTGACTGGGACCCTAGGAGAACCTTTCTGGGGCTCTACTTATTCAGCTATTTACAAGTCTCTCATCTATATACTGTAGTGAACAATTCTAAAGTTAACCACGACATACACGGTGTGCAGCCTGATTTGGACTCAAACCCCTGACCCTCAGAATACTTTTCTGTGACTCAATTGACTGAGCTATGATGCAAAATATCTCAAAACATGGCTATGCAAGTTTTTTTTTGCACAAATTAAAAAGAAGAAAGAAATATAGCAAAGACAAACGGTCTGTATTTTATGTCATTGACAGGACATGTATTAAACAGAACACATGTTCCAAATAATGTTCCCTTTTATTGCTTTACAAGTCAAATGATGCCCCATAATGTTCAAGAACTATTCTTTAATCTTTAAGACAAATATTGGTTTCACTTCTACAGTGCGAGACAAATTTCGTTAATGCACGATGAAATTCGATTTGCCAGGAGTTTTATGTAGCTAAATTAAGCTACTGAAGCCAGCACATATTTATCTTGTAAGGTCAAAGGTCACAAACTAGAACACATATTTTGGATAGTTTTATAAACCGGATAAATTAAATTAGCAAACTAACCCATGCGCATTTCACAGATATTACGAGCCATGGCGCCCATCGTAAAAACTTTCGATTATTTAGTGATAGGTGGGGGGTCCGGGGGTCTTGCCAGTGCTAGAAGGGCTGCAGAATTTGGCAAGAAAGTTGCTGTCATCGAAGAGGCAAGATGGGGAGGCACGTGTGTAAGTTTATTTTATATGATTATATGTTTATCACTGTTTAATTTTAGTGTACTTATTAATCAGTTAATGTTCTGATTAAATTTGCATACAAATTCGTTGTTTGTTTGAGCAGGATCTTCTAAAAATAGAATTTATCTATTTGAAAGACATGCAAGTAAGATATAATAAACACTGAAAATCCTGTAATATAAAGTTAGTGTACTGTACTGTATGCACGAGAATCCTAAGCTTTTCACTGTACTTGCCATTCTGAAAATAAAATGTACTGTTCTGAGAAATCCTACTGTAGCCAAGTAAGTTTGATATGAACAGTTTAATTCGTGTAACAGATTTTGTTTCATATTGTCAAACTTTTGGAAAAATAATTTACCTGCTAAAATTTTAACAAACTGTTTACTGTAATGATCCAAAGAATCCTTAGTATTGAAAGTTAGTATTTAAACAGTACTCACATGAACTTGGAATCCTATCAATAATAGCAGTAAAGTCGGATTTAAAACAAAATCCCATCCCTATATTTTTTTATTGGGATAATCTGACTATTTAATATTGACAGAGTTTCAATTTCCTGTGGTATACTATACACTGGGAATCCTGGAGTAAATTTAATGACTACTCTGAGAAGCCTATTGTAAATGTATACTGTCTTGAGTAAAGTATACTTTTGTTAAGGTAATACATTGTATACTCATAAGTATAGTATTGTACAGTAAGGGTACACCAGACCTTAATTGATTTTAATTTGTCACACTTATTTTTAGGTCAAAATGTCAAGGTCACCGTGGCCATAAATAGGTTATACATTCAACGGTCAATTTTCTCAGAAACTGTTAAAGCTGTCCACTTAAAACTTGGTTTACTTGGTCACTATCATCATATGATGCAATATCTTAAGGACAGATAATCCATCCTTGATTATATGTTTAAACAGGGTCTTTCAAAATTTCTATTTGAAAGACCCTGGTTTAAAGCTGTGTCCCATTTTGACCATTTTTTTGATTGACCTTTCTCAAAGACCACTAAAGATATTCACTTTAGACTTGTAATACTTGTATGATAGCTGAAGTGCATTTCTAAAGGATAAATAACCCTGATATCGCATGTTTGCAAAAAATATTATCAGAACAGAACAACACATATCTTTATTAACTCAAGTTACATTAGAAACACATGAGTACAGTATACATAATAGTGGTGAATATTTGTTAACTATCATATGACTTGGTTTTCTTATTATTTCTACATACAGTACAATTTGTAATGTGAAAAATTAATAGTTACTATGAGAGATGAAAAAAAGAAAACTAACAAATAACTACCATCTGAAGGGGGTAGATACACAAACAATTAGTCCTCACTTCTCGATGCCAGTTTGAAACTGACTATAGTAATGTGAAGGTGCAAAAAAATATTATCCTTATGCTAGTATGCTCTAAAAATGAAAGTTTAAGGTTACATGGTCTGTATGTAGTTACTAGAATAAAGTTAAAGAGGTAAATTATTTAAAGTTAAAGTTTGTTTTAAATTAAATTGATGTAATAATAACAAGAATGGAAGGCAACTTTGTAGTGTTCCGCACTTTTAACATTTATGTGCCACAGCCATTGCTGATTATATACGTATGTTTTAAGAATATTATTCTATGGGTCTATTATATTCATTGAATTGAATATCCTTGATTTGCTTTAACAGGTGAATGTTGGATGTGTACCTAAGAAGATAATGTTTAACACTGCCATGCATTCAGAGTTTATACATGATCACAAACACTATGGTTTTGATGTGGAAGTAAAAGGATTTAGCTGGCGGTAAACATTTATTTCTGCTTTTTTGAAATGTTTCAATTTCAGATTATAAAGGTTATACCTGTATGGTCTATGAGAATTATGCTGATATGTAAATAACTCAATTCTACATAATACATTATTAGAATTTTAAAATTGATTCATAACTCTTGTTACCTCCCTTTGTTCTGGGGAAGACTAGCTGAACCTTTTGATTTGTGTACAACATACATTTGACTGACTTTACCTGTGCAACTCATTTCATAAGGAATATTATTTTATTTTCTTCCCTCAAAGTTTAATTCTTAGTTCGTTTTAAAGTTAAACAATGGCACTGTTAGGTTTATTTTGCAGCTTTACAGCTTTCCTGGTGGAGGAAGCTTTCAGATGAAGAGACTGGTTTGACTTTTATTTCCAGTATATGTATATCTTTTAAGGATGAAATCTCACTAAAATGTGTTGTGTTTTTTTCTTTTATTTACAGAAAAGTGAAAGCTACCAGGGATGCCTATATCAAAAGATTGAATGGAATTTATGAATCAAATCTAGAAAAGGTATGTGATTAAATTAGGTGCAGATAAGTATAAAATTATCCACACCGTCTGTAAAATTGTTAAAGGGGTCAGGTTTTCTTTTCAAAATTTTAGAAAGAGGTCTTGTGATGTATATATGTGAACTTTGTTCGATGATCAAGTGCGAGATTTTTTTCAAAAAGGGAGTTTTTAGAATTTGCAATAAACAAAGAAAAAGTTCTGACATCAAAACGAGGGAGAATTCTTTAATTTGTGAAAATACCCCTTATTTTAAGAAAAATCTTTGAAAATATGGCTGCAGAAAGTGGGAGTCTCCCACTAAAAGTGGAAGAATTCGCATGTTTGGTGATGATGATGATCAGTAACTGATAGTGGTTCACTTAGGAGGGGAGACATTTTCAGTTTGAAGAGGTCATTTTTATAACATATATAGTTTATTACAGACCTTTACTTATTAAAGCTGTTTTAGAATTGAAAAAAAATAAACAGAATTTATTTCTTCACAGTCAAAGGTAGAGAAGATAGTTGGTCATGCAACATTTACTGATGATGGTTATGTCGAGGTAAATGGAGAGAAAATATCAGCGGAACATATCATGATAGCTACTGGAGGAAAACCAATGGTGCCTTCCATACCTGGTAAACACATAGCTTATCTTTTCTTTATGTGTAGAATTACGGTAGATGTCAAGAACAATGCTAGAGCTTTTACTCCACAAAGGTTCACTTTTAAAATCAGGTGTACAGGGTTTTCATTATTTAACAGATTGGTGATCCATATCATCGGTTCAAATGCTCTTAAAATTGGTTATATTTTCAGCGTGAGATTAAAATATCCCCCTTAACCTCTAGCAGGGCCAAAATACCATTTTTGGGGAAGGGGCCTCAGCCTTTTTCTTGGGGAAAATATGCGTGATTTTGGCATTTGGGAAAAGGCGCTCAAATTTAACACAAACTTTTAACAAGTTCTTCAAAATAGACAAGCAAAAACCATTGGGAAATACTAATAAGGCAGTAAAAGACATTTATTCAACACCATCATTTAATTTTCTTCTAAATTCTATGGGAAATTTCAAAAGACTGGGAAATTTTGAGGACCAAACTGGGGAAAAAAAAAAAGAGACTAGCTTGGTTGGGGAAGCACCCAATATTCGGCCTCTACAAAGAAGGTTTTTTTGGCCCTGCCTCTAGTTAAATTGGTTGTTTTTCGCTGGCACATCTATTGCCTCAGATAAAAATGAAAACTGTGGCTGTAAGTGAATGTGTACTACATGTATTAATTATAATGTAGGACAATATTAATATTTAGTACAGACAAATATTAATTAGTTATCCATTGGTTGAGATAAAAACTCATTAATAACTCTTGTCAGTTTACAGTAATTTATAAAACAGAATGAAGAACAATATATGAACTTCAATTGAGTAAATATAATATATATTTATACCCCCGCACAACAAAGTTGTAAGGGGGGTATACTGGAATCAGCTTGTCCGTCCGGCTGTCCGTCCGTCCGTTCGTCGGTTTTTTCTTGTCCGCCCAATAACTTAAGATTCCTTTGACCCTTAGTCTTCATATTTGGCATGGAGGTTAGTCATGATTAGTAGATGACCCCTATTGATTTTGAGGTCACTAGGTCAAAGGTCAAGGTCACAGGGGCCTTGACTTCAAAAAGCTTGTCCGCCCAATAACTTAAGATTCCTTTGACCCACAGTCTTCATATTTAGCATGGAGGCTAGTCATGATAAGTAGATGCCCCCTATTGACTTTGAGGTCACCAGGTCAAAGGTCAAGGTCACAGGGGCCTTGACTTCAAAAAGCTTGTCCGCCAAATAACTAAAGATTCCTTTGACCCACAGTCTTCATATTTGGCATGGAGGTTAGTCATGATTAGTAGATGACCCCTATTGACTTTGAGGTCACCAGGTCAAAGGTCAAGGTCACAGGGGCCTTGACTTCAAAAAGCTTGTCCGCCCAATAACTTAAGATTCCTTTGACCCACAGTCTTCATATTTGGCATGGAGGTTAGTCATGATTAGTAGATGACCCCTATTGACTTTGAGGTTACCAGGTCAAAGGTCAAGGTCACAGGGGCCTTGACTTCAAAAAGCTTGTCTGCCCAATAACTTTAGATTCCTTTGACCCACAGTCTTCATACTTGGCATGGATGTTGATCATGATTAGTAGATGACCCCTTATGATTTTGAGGTCACTGGATCAAAGGTCAAGGTCATAGGGACTTTTACTTCAAAAAGTTTGTCCACCCATTAACTTAAGATTCCTTTGACCCACAGTCTTCATATTTGGCATGGATGTTGATCATGACTATAAGGTGACCCCTATTGATTTTGAGGTCACTGGGTCAAAGGTCAAGGTCACAGGGACCTTGACAAAAAAAAAGCTTTTCTTCTTAATTGCTAAAGAATGTCCTGTCCACAATGTATTGATTTTGACATTTTCACATTTGAAGCATGTAGAATACATAACTTAGCAATGCACTGGCTTAGTAACCTCAGATTTGGCAGGGAGGTTGTCCTTGAGCTCTAAATGGCCAATGTTGATTCTGATTCTGACAAAGTGGTATGCGGGGGTATTCACGCCATGATAGTGGCAGTTCTAGTTTCTGTTGATCAATAATTGATGCAGACATTTGAAAAAATGGATAATTTTGATTAATTATTTTAATGTCTGTGAATTTTGAAAATTCAACAAAAACATATACAAAAGCAGGTGGCCATGTCTCGTAGCAGAGATGACAAAATAATGGTTAGGAATAAGTCCTGCAAAGGACATTTATAAACAGGACACAACATATTTGTATGAACACTGAACATGACATATATTTTACTAAAATCATTTAATTATACATGTATTACCATTATTTGTAGGTGGACAGCATGCTATAACTAGTGATGGTTTCTTTGAACTGGAAGACCTTCCAAAGTAAGTTAAACAGAACTACTGTTTCACAAAGTTGTTTAGATATTTATAGTCACATATAACCATTTTAGTATAATAGGAATACACTGCTCTTATGATTTCACAAATACAATTTCTGTTTGTTGATGGAAGAAAAATGTGGCCCATGCAGTCCATGAGTAGTGAAACATTTCTTGAATTCTAACACAGTTTGGAATATTTCTCATATAAACAGATATTTAACCTGATAATAAATAGCTGGAGTAATATAACTGATTTAAACTGACTTTATAGATATTTTATTGAAAGTCTTGATAACCCTAAAAATCAAAGTACCAGTTATTGCTAGTAGAATGACTTTTACAAGGGAGGCAATGCAGTATCTAGGGGTAAATATGTAATAACTGGGGAAGGGGTGGAGGAATTGTCAATATAATTTTTAGAGGGCACCAATGTAATTTTTAGGGGGCACCAATGTATTACATTTCTAGGGGGTACCAACTTAATTACAAAGAGTCACAAAAGTAATCCTTAGTGATGATTTAATTTCATTAGACATATATAAAAAAACCCACAGAGACAGTGCACAACACTGTGTTAACTAATGAAGATGAAAATCCATAAGGAATATTTCTACCTGTCACATGGTAAGTTGGTCATATACCTCTAAGAAACTTTAATTTTGAGAAATCACATTGATTTGAAAATTCACAAATACAAGTACCAGTATATAGATTGAATGATTTGTTGTGTATTATATACAGTATACTTACAAAACCGGTTGTAAAGAGGCAGTCGGTACGATTTGACCTTTTTTGCATTTTCACTTTTGAAAGTTTCACTGTAATATATTTTTGTTAAAGTAGTTGACTTTGTTTATTTTGTTTGGCACAGGAAGGTGGTTGTTGTTGGGGCAGGTTACATTGCTGTAGAATTGGCGGGAATATTTAACGCTCTAGGATCAGATACATCTATATGTATACGTTACGATCAAGTGCTGCGAAATTTTGATGGCATGATTAGTCATACGTTAACTTCGGAACTGGAGAACTCCGGAATGAAAGTCTGCCGTAGAACACAGGTTAGAGATTTATTATATGCAGAAATTTTTTGCATGAAACTATATTCTTTTAGAGAGACTATTCATTTAATAACCAACTGTATTGCATTTTGCATTTACTTCATATATAGGAATTGACAGCTATAATTACGGTCATGCAAAAGGAGATTATATAAATTATACTTGTAGCTTTGTTGCTTAGCAACCAGCATTTAGGGAATTTGTTCTAGGACTGGTCAGTATTGGTTGGCATAGTGTGCATTGGTGGAGTATTTCAGCAGTAAGTTGATGTAACAAGGTTTCAAGTATGCTCTCTGCTGCATGTAAACACTGTCATCTTTGTAACTAAAATACATGTATTGTTTTAGGATATTTATACTAAAAATCTTTTTTAGTTAATATGAATACTTCTAATTTTCTGAGGTTTTTTTTATACACAGTAATATATACTTCATTATGCCTAATTGTAATTCAGTTGTGTTTGATATTATACAGGTTACTAAAGTTACTAAGGAATCTAATGGCACTTTGACCCTTGACCTTAACACTGGAGATCAGATGAAGGACGTGAATTGTTTGTTATGGGCTATTGGAAGAGTACCAAACACTAATAATTTAGGATTAGAAAAAGTGGTAAGTTTTTTCTGAAATGGTTTCTTTTCCTTGCTGGAAACTTCTTGTTTGAAAAGCAATAAATATTAAGCAAGCAGTCAGTGCACATAGTTGTAATGAATCAAATTTCTCTTTATGGCACAAACATTAGTATTTCTATGTATGCATGTTATAATTAGGAAATATATTTTTATTATGAGTGCATATTCATACAATGTATTTGTATCCCTACCTGTCAAAATGCTAAAAAATAATCTTTGATCCCTGGAATGTCAGTGTGACTTCAAATCCAACTCAAAGGGCGTCCATGATTGTTGACTTCAAACCACTTGCCCCTTACCACTAAGGGTTCGAATCCTGCTGGATACTTTGGATTTTTTCATGTATCCAGGTAGCTTACAAATACTCTGGTGCTTGTTTGTGTCTGAAATAATGCATGGAGAGGCACCTGAGATCTTCCTCCACTAATAAAGCTGGAAAGTCACCATATGACCTTTACTGTGCTGGTGCGACATAAAACCAAACCAACAGAAAGAAATGACTGTTTGAATGTTTCGGAAACACTCTTTTTGTTTAAGTTTGGTTTACTGTTGTCCAATGAGCTCAGTGAATTCTCTTTTAACAAGGCTGAATTCCCTATTGACAAGGCTTGTTGTTAACTAACACATCACCTATTTGACATTAAACCAGATCTGAAACTAGATTCTTATAATATACCCACAATAATTGTCTTCTCGCATCCACCTCCCCCTGATAATATTTGCTACTCAATCATAGCTCCACCCACTATGTCTTGTGACCTTAATTTATCTTTTTTAAGGGAATCAAAACAGACAGCAAGGAAAATATTGTCGTTGATGAGTTCCAAAATACCAATTTACCAAAACGTTACGCATTGGGCGATGTTTGTGGCAAGGCTTTACTCACGCCAGGTAAGTGGCTGACTTCAACTTGTGTACTGCTGTGCTAGAACTGGGTAGAACCCAGCCTTGGATTATGAATTTTTAGAGGAGTTTAGTTGTTTTATTTAGGCGCCACATAATTCCTGAAAAAAAACTATGAGGGGCATCTAAGGTCATCAATGAATTAAGTTGAAAAATTGCATATCATAACTTTTTAAGTGTTCTTAAATTCCAAAGAAAAATCAACAAAAAACATTTTCATAAACACATTTAATACATGTATAAAAAAATTCAGCACTAGCATATTTCATAATAGTTTTAAGTACAGGTAGGGAAATATTTTCTAGTCCTTTGCTATTCTGTAATGATATTAATAGTACAACAATACAGGTATTTATAGTGTGCAAATTAAAAAAAAATTATTTGTTAATTTTGTTGTGAGAAGTAAGTTCAGCACACATTAGCAAAAATCTCCACTTTCACCAATTTTTCTCTCTTCAGTTGCCATAGCAGCCGGTCGTAAGCTGGCACATCGCCTGTTTGACAACAAACCAGATTGGAAATTAGATTATGATAATATACCCACAGTTGTCTTCTCACATCCACCTATAGGAACTATTGGACTGACTCAAGGTAAACTGAATTCTTCCTGATAATTATCATAACTCCTCCCATTTCATCATAGCTCCACCCACTATGTCATATGACTTAACCTTTACACTGTTGGAGCTAAAGTTGATTAGCCCTTGCCACCAGTATAGAGCCAGACCAGCCTTCTCATCTCAACAGTCTGACCAGGCTCTATACTGTTGGCTGAACAACTTTAAATTTTCATCTTCATATCCCCAAAATTGATAATGGATAGTTTCAAAAATGGAAGCTGGACGAGTCCATTTAGAAATTCAACAGATTATGGTTTAATATACACAAATAATATCAACAGTAATATCAACAGTTTTGAGGTGAGGGAATTCGCATTTGACAAATACATCTTGTAAATTTTATGATGTTGTTATGTGCCACAATGTGTGTTACTTTTACTGAATGCCATTTTCCTAGTCAAATTTTCTGTACAAAAAATGAAGCATTGTTTGTGACATTAAGTTTTATGTATGGGTCTTTTTTCATTTGCCATTTCATCCATTTCAACAGTTTGTAGTCGAAACTTGTTTTAAGGTAACTGTTTTGAAAACAGTAAAGGGTCGGATTGCTATTATGAATGTTAGATTAAAGGTAGTAATTAGACCTGAATGCATTGATTAAAATGTAGTAAAATATAATGTTGTTGATTTAATTTTAATTAATTTGTTTATTGGTTATTCTAAGTAACCTCTCTTGCAGGCACATTTATAATTACAAATTCTATGAAAGCAAATAGAAATCGAAAGTAGCATGCAGACAGTGTACAACTTTGACGATCATTGGAAATCATCTGAAAAATGACCGAGTACTCGAGTACTGATTTTGGTATTCATTGCCATCCCTAGTAATAGAACTTCATGCACATATCACAGCATGTATTATATTTTACAGAGGAGGCAGAACAGAAATATGGAGCAGCTGATATCAAAATTTACTCGTCAACATTTGTTCCAATGTACTACGCTATGACAGAACATAAAGTCAAATGTAGCATGAAATTGATTTGTTTGAAATCCCAGAATGAAAAGGTATTTTTGAGCTATTTTATTTAATGTTAACCATGGAACTGTAAGTAGTTTAGCCTTTGCCACAAGTATAGAGCCAGGTTTAACTCAGAATAAACTGTTTCAAATTATTCAATAATGTCTGGTTAGGAAGAAGCACCTTTTCCTAAAACAGGTTATCTTCCTTACATGAAAGAATCAATGGTTCCCAGCAGTATTTGAACACACAGCTGCGATGGCAAACTTAAACACTCGGCCAGGGAGGTACGTCGAGAAAAAATTCAAAATTGAGCTTACAGTAATGTCTAAAGGGTTGAAGAAGAATCTTGAGAATATTTTCAATTATAATGAAAAATGAAAAAAGTATTTTGTCTACCCCATAGAGTAGTCTAACTTAGCTCTATACAGTTGGCTGATTATCTTCAAATTTTCTTCTTGATATCCCTAAAATTGATAATGAACAGTTCCAAAACTAAAATCTTGACAAGTCCTTTTAGTCCAGGGTTTATATTATCATTGGTTATTCAATGTTTGTGCTACATCGGTACTGGCATCCCTTAAGCTTTATATAGACTGTTCTTAATTGTCCCCCGCCTTTTCGAAGAAAAAAGGGGGATATAGAAATAGGCTCCGTCCGTCCGTCTGGACGTCCGTCTGTCCGTCTGTCCGTCCGTCACACTTTCGTGTCCGGTCCATAACTTTGTCATTTATGAAAGGAATTTGAAATAACTTGGCACAAATGTTTATCATAATAAGACGATGTGTCATGCGCAACAACCAGACCCCTACCTCCAGGGTCAAGGTCACACTTGCTCATTCAAGGTCAACATTGCCTATTTGAGGGTATATGTCGTGTCCGGTCCTCACTTTTCTTATCTATGAAGGAATTTTGTAAATACTTGCCATAATTGTTCACAATAATCAGACGATGTGTCATGCGCAAAAACCAGTCACCTACCTTCAAGGTCAAGGTCACACTTGGAGGTCAAATATTAACATAGTCTGTTACAGGGTATATTTCGTGTCCGGTCCATAACTTTGTCATTTATCAAAGGAATTTGTAATTACTTGGCTCAAATGTTTGTTATAATAAGACGATATGTCATGCGCAACAACCAGACCCGTACCTTCAGGGTCAAGGTCGTACTTGCTCATTCAAGGTCAACATTGTCTATTTGAGGGTATATGTTGTGTCCAGTCCATAACTTTCTTATCTATGAAGGGATTTTGTAAATACTTGCCATAATTGTTCACAATAATCAGACGATGTATCATGCGCAAAAACCAGTCACCTACCTTCAAGGTCAAGGTCATTGGAGGTCAAATATTAACATAGTCTGTTACAGGGTATATTTCGTGTCAGGTCCATAACTTTGTCATTTATCAAAGGAATTTGAGATAACTTGGCATAAATGTTTGTTATAATAAGACGATGTGTCATGCGCAACAACCAGACCCGTACCTTCAGGGTCAAGGTCGTACTTGCTCATTCAAGGTCAACATTGTCTATTTGAGGGTATATGTCGTGTCCGGTCCATAACTTTCTTATCTATGAAGGACTTTTGTAAATACTTGCCATAATTGTTCACAATAATCAGATGATGTGTTATGCACAAAAACCAGTCACCTACCTTCAAGGTCAAGGTCACACTTTGAGGTCAAATACTTACATAGTCTGTTACAGGGTATATTTTGTGTCAGGTCTATAACTTTTTCATAGATCAAAGGATTTTGAAAATACTTCGCACAAATAGTCACTATAATAAGAGGATGTGTCATGCGCACTTAGAGGTCAAATAGTCACAATAATAAGACAATATGTCAAGTACAACACCTGCACCCCTACCTCCAAGGTCAAGGTCACACTTGGAGGTCAAAGGTTAACAGAGTCTGTTATTTGGTATATTTTGCTTCCCGTCCATTACTTCTTCGTAGATTAAGGGATTTTGAAAATACTTGGCACAAATAGTCACAATGATTAGATGATATGTCATGCGTAACATCTTTGTCCCTACCTCCAAGGTCAAGGTCACACTTAGAGGTCAAAGATTTACATAGTCTGTTATAGGGTATATTTTGTGTCCAATCTATAACTTCTTCATAGTTCAAGGGATTTTGAAAATACTTGGCACAAATAGTCTCAATAATAAGACGTTATGTCATGCACAACACCTGCTCCCCTACCTCCAAGGTCAAGGTCACACTTAGAGGTCAAAGCTTAACATGATAGATTTTTAAATTCCGTGTTTCATTTTATTTTTTTAACAAACTTATTGTTACATTTGCAGATCTAGCATTTATCATAATTTTGGACTGAATGTCCTGAGATCCATTCCTCAATCTTTTGAAATAGCACAATTTTATGCTTCATATAAAACTCCCGGGGCGGGGGACGTTGGTAACTCTGTTACAAATTCTTGTTCATAGCAGGGGTAGGCCAATTGTACTAAAGTTCCACCAATTAGCAGAGTGATGGCAAGAGAAGTGAATATAGATTAAGATAAAGTTTTAAAATTAAATTAACATATTTAAGATAAATGCCTATAGATATAGAACGAATTCTTATCTCAATCATGGTTTTCATGAGAATATTTTGTATTGTTGTTTTAGGTGATAGGACTCCACATGCTGGGACAAGGTTGTGATGAAATGTTACAAGGATTTTCTGTGGCTATCAAGATGGGGGCAACAAAAGCCCAGTTTGATGACGCTGTTGCTATTCATCCTACGTCAAGTGAAGAGCTTGTTACAATGAGATAGTCCTGTTTCCCGTGGTGTGTTGTTGTGGTTGCCATAGCAATAAAAATTATACATGTGTAATCAAACTATCTGCTTAAGAAAATCTACTTACTTAACTTAAGTGTTAGGTATATAATAATCAGACTTTTCTATAATTCTGTGAAAATATCTCAACTCTGTGAATGCAAGAGTTTATCTTTAAAAGCTTAGAGCTTTGTTTGTATGAGTATTGAATTTTATGGAAAATGACAAAATATTATATCCATGTAAAATAAAACATGTTTATAAAATTAAAAATTTAACAAATTGCAAGCTACTTTGCATGAAAGTGTTTTTTTTTTATATATAACTTGACTATTGTAGGCATATTAAAGCGGCCTTTCAGCTTTTCTAAAGGTTAGATATGTTATTTTTAGGTAAATCATTTTTTATAGGTAAATCATTTCATATAATTGTCAAATGAATAGAATTAAATTTGAATTAAATTTGGCGATGATAAAATACATAAACCCTGGATACCTCTAATCTGTACTCTATATTTAAACTAGTTAAGCAGACGATTTGTTTCCTGATGTCCTATTTTTAGAAACAAACGTCACTAACACGCTAAAAATAGCTCTGGGGACGCTGTTTTTAAGAAGGTTTGACAATGATATGATGCACTTTTCCAAGATAAAATTACTGAAATACTTAGTTTGAAACAACACAGAATTGTTTTTTCCAACAGAACATAAAAGCTGAAGGCTGAAGGCCATTTTAAGAATTGTTGTATCAGTTTATTGCTGTAATAATAACAAAAAAAAAAAACAATGAAGAATTTTTTTTGAAAAGAGGTATTTTGTATAATTTGTTATGTGTATTTAAACAGATGTGTATGTTACTTTCATGTATCAGCATTATTTGCTTTGTTCAGGTTCCTCTAAATTATATGACTGATTTTTATTGTTACCATAAATTAAATTTTCACGTTAAAATGTAAATTTTTGTAAGCAATAACTATTGATATTGATGTTTCTGGTGAAAGAAAAGACAACTACCTCTTTTGCTGTTTTAGCCTTTTGTTAGCTGTTTTGTACAATTCTTGTATTTATTTACTATAATCGTCAATTTGAAATTGCGTGTACATGTAATCTATTTGTATGAAAATTTGGCATTGAGGTTATTGTTAAAAATATTTTTTTTTGTACTTTTGTTCAGTGTCAGTGTAAGAGCATCTTGTGACCCATTTATTCCATTTGATTGGTCAGCATATACTGGTCTCATTAATTCAGTGTCATATTAATGTATGGTGAATTTTCTCAAAATAGTTTTAAGCTGTCGGAAGTTGTGTCAAAGATGTAATTGTTTTTATAGAACTTGCTTTATTGTAGGCATATTCGGCAATGTTGCGTAGCAATTAATTGTTTTAATAGAGAAAGCTGTGGAGGATATTAAATGAGTTCAGATTCAATATTAAATTTATTGAATGAGTTGAATAAAATCATATTATGTGAGCCTCTGGAGACCATAATATTGTTTTATTGAATGACTTCAAGAAATTTAGTATTAAATCAGTATGAAGATAATATTCTATATATCACATATCAAAAAAAGAAAAAAGAATGGTTTACAGTTATTACAGTCATTTTTCATTGACACGTCTATAGTGTAATACTAACATTAGCACGGTTTAATGCTATGTTTGTATATAACACAAATGATGTCACATCCAAGTGTTACTAAATTAGTTATTAAATGGCTTTATTACACTTTTGCGCCATTGTTTTTGTATATTATACTTACTAATGCTTAAATTGCTCTTTTAATAATCAATTCAGCACAGTTCGACCGCACAGTGCAACCTTAGACTAGTGTTATGATGATTATTGTGTGTAGTTTGACTGTGATATATCAATAAATTGCAGCTTAATGGAAATTTCTTATGAATATTTAAATATGGTTTCTCTTACAAAATAATTATTTCTTTTAATTGTGTTTCTGTAGTTTTTGATCTCCTCCTTCTAGTCTGTCACACTTTTTTGTGCCAATAGAGGTATACCTTTCTCACACATTCTGTTCCATATTTAAAGTAGTGGACCTGTTATTGAAGTAACATAAAAGTGCTACTGAATCTTCTGACTTTTGAAATACTGTTTTGTGTGTGAAAAATTTGGCATTAATAGGATTTTTTTAAAAAAAATCCATGGCAAAATTTACAAAGATATACAGTTATTAAATTTCAGGATAAAAAACATTGTAATACAATAGTGAAAATTTTGAATGCTGAAAAACCAACTACACATTTGTGAAAACTTAACAAAATAAAGATAGATGATTTGATAGAAATTGTGAGTTTTATAATTTTTTCTATGTGCAGTTGGTTCAAATTACACATTTGATACTGACTTAATATCATTAAATTTTTGATGTAATTTTTCAGTGTACTTATTTAAAAAAACAGCAATATCTATAAAAATAGCAACTTGATTGTGATAAGAATACATGTATTTAAAAAAATACATGTACCATAATAATATTATGTTCTAAAAGAATTGCAAAACATATTCCTTCATATTTTGGTGCCAAGAATATTGAAACTGTGTTATTTAGTGAACCTTTTTGCCAAAATTTCTTGTTTTTGTGCTACTTATTTTATACCTTTGATATACAAATACATATACAAGTACGCATCTGTTTATTTTAAGTGTTATATTTTAAATAGCAATGATATTTTGAATTGTGTTATATTTTTTCAGTAGCAATTGTTCTGTTATGTACACTTTATTTCTTTGGTATATAGTTCTTTTTAGCTCGACTATTCGATAAGAATAAGTAGAGCTATTGTAGTCACCCGAGCGTGGGCGTTGGTGTCAGCGTCGGCGTAACCACTTACGTTAAAGTTTTTGTAATAGTTCAAATATTTTCAAAGTCCATTGACATATGGCTTTGAAACTTTGCACACTTGTTCACCATCATGACCCCAACCTGTAGACAGGAGGAGGTAACTCTATCAAGCATTTTGACAGAATTATGCCCCTTTTTCGACTTAGAATTTACGTTAAAGTTTTTGTAATAGTTCAAATATTTTCAAAGTCCATTGACATATGGCTTTGAAACTTTGCACACTTGTTCACCATCATGACCCCAACCTGTAGACAGGAGGAGGTAACTCTTTCAAGCATTTTGACAGAATTATGCCCCGTTTTTGACTTAGAATTTACGTTAAAGTTTTTGTAATAGTTCAAATATTTTCAAAGTCCATTGACATATGGCTTTGAAACTTTGCACACTTGTTCACCATCATGACCCCAACCTGTAAACAGGAGGAGGTAACTGTATCAAGCATTTTTTTTACTATTAAGCACTAAGAATAGTCGAGCGTTGCTGTCCTACCGACAGCTCTTGTTTATTATAATTAAACATATTTTGCAAAAGAATATTGTTATTTGTTTACATTATTGTCATTTAATGACTTAAAATAATTTCTTTAGTGTTTGTCATGCAAAATATTACGTCAAGGGGTGTAACTCGTGTCACAGATTTTCACTGCAAGGGAGGTAATAAGAGTACGACTTACAAACTCCTAGCAGCGGTTTTTTCCCTTTATAACCGAAGAATTAAGTTGGGGATACATGGTCACATATTTTTGGTGTCCTGCATTTGTCAAGTAGTGATACATATCACTGATTAGTAAGTGTTATCAATTGATTTCATATCCTATATAATATAAGTATTTATATCTACGTCATTGAAAATGTCATGATCTGGTCGTGTCACATATAACACATAGTTATATGTGGTGGGTAGCTATACAACTACGGAATTTAAATATATTTAGATAGCTTTGTCTAACAAAGGTCGTTAAGTACACATTATGGATGTTGTTTTAGTGGTAATGGATACAAGAAAACGCTTCTGTAAGTGTACGTATTACTTCTCTTGCATGAAACATGTGTGATAACATGTAAGCATATGGGTCTTGTCACAAATATAATTTCATTCTAGATAGCTTTGATTGTCTTCTCAAAATTTTAATGTTTTATTCACTTTTTAGCTCACCTGAGCTTGCTCAGGGTGAGCTTTTAGGATCGATGAATGTCCGTCGTCCGTCTGGCCGTCCACAATTGCTTGTGAACACTCTAGCGGTCGCATTTTTGCCTCAATCATCATCAAACTTGGTCAGGATGCTTATCTAGTTGAAAGCTCGGATGAGTTCGAACATGGGTCATCTCAGATGAAAAACTAGGTCACAAGAGCTAAAAATAGAAAAACCTTGTGAACACTCTAGAGGTCACATTTTTGACCCAATCTTCATCAAACTTGGTCAGGATGTTTGTCTAGGTGATAGCTCAAATGAGTTCGAACATGGGTCATCTCGGATGAAAAAGTATGTCACAGGAGCTATAAATAGAAAAACCTTGTGAACACTCTAGTGGTCACATTTTTTAACCAATCTTCATCAAACTTAGTCAGAATGCTTATCTAGTCAATTGCTTGGATGAGCTCGAATATGGGTCATCTCGGATGAAAAACTAGGTCACCGGAGCTATAAATAGAAAAACCTTGTTAACACTCTAGCGGTCACATTTTTGCATCAATCATCATCAAACTTGGTCAGGATGCTTATCTAGTTGATAGCTTGGATGAGTTCGAACATGGGTCATCTCGGATGAAAAAGTAGGTCACCGGAGCTAAAAATAGAAAAACCTTGTTAACACTTTAGCGGTCACATTTTTGCATCAATCATCATCAAACTTGATCAAGATGCTTGTCTAGGTAATAACTCGGATGAGTTCGAACATAGGTCATCTCGGATGAAAAACTAGGTCACAGGAGCTAAAAATAGAAAAACCTTGTTAACACTCTAGTGGTCACAATTTTGACTCAATTGTCATCAAACTTGGTCAGGAAACTTGTCTAGGTCATTGCTGGGAATAAATCGAACATGGGACATCTCGGATGAAAAACTAGGTCACAGGAGCTAAAAATAGAAAAATCTTGTTAACATTCTAGTGGCTACTGTTGTGATCCAAATATTCTGTTAATTGGTCTGAAAGTTTGTTTTGATGATTTCTAAGTCAAGATCGAACATGGGTCATCTTGGATGAAAAACTAGGTCACACCGCCCAAATATGGAAAAACCTTGTTAACATTCTAGTGGTCACATTTTCGACTCCATTATCATCAAACTTGGTCAGAATGCTTGTCTAGGTAATTGCTTGGATGAGTTCGAAATCGCATGTGAAACTAGGTCACCGGAGCTAAAAATAGAAAAATCTTGTTAACACTCTAGTTGCTACTGTTTTGATCCAAGTATCCTGGAAATTGGTCTGAAAGTTTGTTTTGATGATTTCTAGGTCAAGTTTGAATATGTGTCACCTGGGTAAAAAACTAGGTCGCACTGCTCAAATATGGATAATCCTTGTTAACACTGTAGTGGTCACATTTTTGACTCACCTGTCATGAGACTTGGTCAGAATGCTTGTCTAGGTAATTGTTTGGATGAGTTTGATAATTCAGGTGAGCGATCTAGGGCCATCATGGCCCTCTTGTTGTATAAAATGACGCATTCTGTTCGAATGATAAAAAATGCCGTGTATTAAAGATGCAAATCAAGCCGAAAAATATTCAGCCCTTGATATAACGTTAGAAATATTCTAGTTATATTTCGAAACAATTTTCCATCACTAGTTTTGTTAACGTCTCTGTCCTCATATCAGTTTTCTCTCCCCGTCTTTGGTTGCAAGTTCTTCAGGAACTTGGGATTTTTTTAGTTAATACATATTTATAAAATAATCTAGCTTGTGATAAAAGTTCATAGAGATGTTGCATTAGTCCCACAGAGTCCTCTTCCAGGACTAAATACAATGCAAGTTTAAAATTAAAGAAATAGGACTTATATTACAGTGGAGCTCGAACCCAAGGATGGTCTTGGTTGAGATATATATATAATTAACATCAAGGCGACTTCTACCCTATTTGAAAGAATTTGGTCCTCAAGTTACAAGGAAAAAATAACTTTTCTTCAATTAACTTCCTTTTCAGATAACAAAGTGACACCCAGATTACATTACAAATTATAAAGTATCTAAAAAAAAGTAAAAATATTTACCTTTTTTCATGTACAATACACTTAATTTTCTTTCTATACGGCAGCTTTTATTTGTAAGAAATATCGGTTGATAATTCTATAAATTCTGGTTAACTTTGTAATACTACTTGTCATGTTTATTGATTACATTTTGATAAGATTTTTTGTTAATTATTAATGTTCGCATTTGTTAAATTGATTACCCACACTAAACTGAATTTTTGCATGTCCCTAGGAAAGTTTGATATCACGGCAAAACGAACAAAGGAATTAATAAAAACGCTCACTGGACACAAAAATATACAATGAATAAAATTAACTTTTAAATTTAATTTTGGATTATCAACGTACAACAGAAGTTACGGTGTTAATTTATATTCAAACTAGAGGTATCACAACCCGGGGGCGGGGGCTGGGGCGCTGGCAGGGAGGTTACGTTGGACCTACACAGCAAAGGCCGTTTTGCGACTTTCCAGTTTTACTGTTGCAGGAAGACCTCAGGTGCTCTTCCTTGCATTATTTCAGGCACTAAAGGGCACCTGAGTAGAAACTCCAAAGTTCCGCAGACAGCTAGCACGTGAATTTACAACGCAAACTATTTAATTATTACGCAGTCATAAATTACAGAAAGAAATACATGATGCACCTGTCATGCAGCCAAAGTAAACAAAATAAAAATGCGCAGGTATGAAAAACTAGAACAATTTTGAAAGATGATCAAATTTTCATTTGTTTTGGACTATCTTCGTTTCAAATTAAATGATGCAATGTGAACATAATATTGAGGGTAAACCAACAAAGCAAATGACCTTTCTTGCAATCTCTCTCATTTCAAGGACAAACATTTACTGGATCGATAACACAGACATTTTACGTCGAGATTTCACCACAGTGAGGAGATAAGACTGTCAGAGGAATGCAAATTTATTTATAAATCCATGTTGTACACATTTTCATAGTGAAGGAAAAGGCGGTATGTTTTATACAATATTTTATATTTGTTAAACTGTATTTAATGTAGGTTTATGCTATTGTATTTTTACCTGTTCTTTTACGTACGCGAGTTGATATTGTTTTTCATAGTGCACTGACCTACTTTGCATGGTTTTTCATAAACAGAAATCAGCTGTTTAGCACAACAAAATCAGCTGTTTAGTGTATTTATTGTTAATCGATGCCTTGTACTTAGCTTGCTTGTGTTGGTGATACTTGGGAGACAAGAGCTATATATCGTGTTTTTTCCCACGTAAACGTCCGCAGTCACGTATTTTTAATATCTTTAATTTACTGCATGTGCTTCGAGTTATTTAGATAAAATGAGCCGCGTCATGACAAAACCAATTAACATAGTGCGTTTGCGACCAGCATGGATCCAGACCAGCCTGCGCATCCGCGCAGTCTGATCAGGATCCATGCTGTTCGCTTACAAACCCTACAACAAGTAGAGAAACTGATAGCGAACAGCATGGGTCTTGATCAGACTGCGCCAATGGGCATGCTGGTCTGGATCCATGCTGGTTGCAAAGCCACTGTGTTGGTTTTGTCGTGACGTGGCTCATATATAAAACAACCGTGGTTCATTAGCTGTAGTCAATGTAATTTTCAGCAGAAAGCTTTATTGCTATAATACATAATTAAAGATAAGTTAATTTGTTAACGATACATATAAATTAGACTATTAGACTTATCTTTGTATTTTGAACATAGCAGCAAAGTTATAACGAAATCGGTGTTTGTGTTTGTTTATACATGTAATATTTAAGGTATCTTAATTAAGTAACTGAAGCACATGTTAATAATATCATAATAAGCACCATTACATTTCTTGAACGCTGGATCTTATTTGAACTTAAAGTCACAATAAACAGTGTGACAACTGTACAGCGAATGGTGAAAGACATAAAATTTATTTACAAAACTGTACATAACATCTTTTATCTTATTGTGGACAAAAACCTGAAAACTTAGGACAATGTTAGTTTAAGACCTGACATTTATGATAATTTCAGTACTTTTTAAACCGTTTTGAATGATGTTCCAATTTATACACTCCCGTGGTATGAAGTTTTGGATAAACATTTAAAATAATCGAGTTCGTGATGTTATACAACATGACCTTTTGATAAAATGTCACATTCTTTAAATTGTGAGTATTTGTCCGATTTTTTGTTTGTTTTTGGAATGGTTCAACATTTTTGTTACCGCTTAAGTCTAATCACTCATAAATTCGTCTACAACAGCTGCGTTTTACGAATTTATATGATTTTTGACGCAGTCTCGTCGTCCACTATCAATGTCATGTGAAGTTATTGAAAGAAAGTCCCCGAATGCTGTCGTATATTATTATAGGTACAAATGGGCTCGTGACGCGGTGCCCATGTGGTCTCTTTCCGGTGACGAGGGTACCCCCCCCCCCCCGCGCACACACAGTGACGCGGTGATAGCAACTTCTATTACACATACTTCTGATTGATAGTCATTTAATTATGATACGTTTTGTAGAAAAGATGTGCTGTTAACATTACACATTGAACTAGTTGAGAATCATATTTTGAATATTTTCATTGCCAGTCGTAAAACAACAAACAAACAACAACATCAACAACAACAACAAACTACGACACACTCGTACATCTTTCATTGATTTCATTCATTTCTTTTAAGATCTTGCAGATTTTTAGAAGACATTTATTTAATATGATAGGTTTGGTTGAATACTAACTTCAAATCCCTGATTTGTTCTAAATCAAGTTTTGAATGTAGACATATATTCACTTGAACTGCTTCTTAAAACGGTCATGTTTGACGCGACACAATTTGTAAATAAAAAATAGTAGAAAGGTAATTGGCACGACGCTAGACACCTAAATAATACATTACCTTCACCAAAATTTAAAATAACAATTTATCTCTTTATAAAAAAAAATAGATATCGTGATACTTAAGACAGTAGTAATTTGTTTACGAAAGTAATGACATCATAATTTACACTTTCAAATTTAGAGAATTTTGAAATATTTAAATACTAGAGAATTTTGAAATATTTAAATACATGTATATTCACAAACATGTATTCCGTTAGGCCTTACAAGAGAAACTTCTGGTTGCAAAAGTCTAGTATAAAACGCGTCAAGGAAGGTATATTTTGCGGTGAAAAGATAAACATCTGTGAACCTATTAACGGACAATTAATTATGATAAACTGTAGGTCATCGATTTTCTTGTTTATATGACCGGTATTTTAAACTGTTCGTTTCGTGTGAACGCCATATGAACCCAACAAATCAAAAGTAACACGCAAGACCTGAGGACTTAAGTCCTTTTGGGATATTACATAACTTGACAACTAGAGATAGTACTTTTAAAAAATATCACGAGCATTCCCGTTTAGCATTTCCAGATTATCGGCGATGTTTCGAATTTGGAATTGCAAAATTTGCGTTTGCGCCCGCCATTTTACGCATTACAAGTCACGTATTTGTCCAAGCGGCGGTTCCTCTTGCATAATCAATACATCTTTAATATAATATTGATAATGTTATACAAAGGCTTTTGTTTATTTCCCATTTACAAAGGCATTATATTTAATCGACATTCTTAGTATTGACTGAGGTGGAAGCCGTTATACATTTATTCAAAGGCATTCTGTAAAAGTTTTCATTTGCTTATACTGTATTTGATTATACTTGGTTCTTTGGTTCTGGGAATAAACTTGGAACTTGCTTTTCTCCTTTAAAAGAACAATTTAGGATATACATGCGTGTATAAATTATTCTGATTGTCATTGCAGAAACATGGCAATAGATAAATCATTAGAAGCATCACTAAGTACTCACGAAGATGCAGGACTTGAACCCGGCTCTGTAGCAGATAATGACCATGGTCCGCAACATAATCAAGTGTCTCATAAAGTTGCTGATGTTGAAGATGTAGTATCGCAAAATGACATTGGTTGTGATAAGGAAGACCCAGACACGAAGGAAGATGACGGTCTACCTATAGATAGGGGCTGGGCTTGGGTGGTACTCGCTGGTAGGTGGCATAGGTTGGTTGCTTTATGTATCTTTGTTTAAAGTTTGATTCGAACTTCTGTGACGGATGTAAGATGTCGTAAGTACGTAGAAGAAGTTGAATATTTGTAGAAAACAATGTTATCCTTTGTTTTCGAAAATTTATTTCAATTTCTTTCCTAAAATTTACTGTCATTTTGTAAAGGCTGTGACGATGTTGAAAGACTGATAAAATGTTATGTTGAATAATGTAAAAGTTAAATGTTTTCTTGATATGGTGTATCAAGTACCAATTAATTTTAATTCAAATTTAAATTCTATTTCAACCGATGACCAGAAAAATATTGCGAAATAATTATGTAATTCTAACCCAAGGCCCACATGGAAGATCGTGTGTAAGCATAATTAAATCACCCACTGTTCTAAGAATAGTTAACTGGTTTCTTTGAAATCATTGTAATGCAAGTTGTCTTTAAACCAATTATCAAACATCGTCTGTCGTTTACATAAAGCGAGCATTCTAATATAATTATTTCTACAAAACTGAACTTGTGGGTCAAATACCAATGATTTTCATCAATAAAGCCTGGATACATTCTATTTGTTATTATAATCTCGATACGTTGTAACACTTCTATATTTATTTGTTTATATAATCTCGATACATTATAACACTCCTGTATCCATTTGTTTATATAGTCTTGGTGCATTATAACAATTTTGTATCAAAGTTATTATTACTTGCAGGTACAGCCTTTTATCTGATTATATTTGGAGGAATTAAGAAAAACTATGGAATCTTCTTTGTCGCAATACAGGAAAGGTTCGGGTCTACGGCATCCTTGACGTCATTTTTGACCACCATGCAAAATCTTCTCATGAGCTGTTCTGGTAATTTTGTGTTCTTAGTTTCAAAGCAGCATGTTTACATATCTCCTTTATAATATATACTTTTCTGAAAATTTATTTTTGTTGAGTTATGCTGACTTGTTTAATATTAAAAAAAGATGATTGTATTATTGTAACATTTAAGAAATTAATATTTGGTAAACCCGAAAAGTTTCTTTATGAATGGCTATAAAATAGTTCGGTTAATAATATCTTTAAAAAGCTAACCTTTCCAGTAATATAAACATCATTTCCATGAATTGGAGTTCTAGATAGGAATTGATTTTCTACAAGCATACTGTATACATAGTATGTTGAGAAAAGTTCAGTTTTACAGAAAGGTTAATAGGAAGGAACAATGCCATAGACGAAGGTTATTTGAAAGGTCATTTTGATACAAGATACTCAAGTTTATAATGTATATTTTCAGCACTATTCATAATGACTGTAGGGATGCAGTTCATGTCAAACCGGACGTCAATAATGTACGGTTCGTTAGTTCTTACCGTATCTCATATCATCTCAGCTTATGCTACAGACATACGTATGCTGTTTGCGTCTGTAGGATTTCTAGAAGGTAATACCGTTGCATAAATTCTTTGTTAACATACCATGGTACAATATTCGCCATTTGCTTTAATTGCAACTTTTCGGCCCGTTTCGTTATACTTCGGATGATGATTATTTTTTACCCCTTATGTATTTCATTAATACCTGGGTGAATAAAGATAATGAGCTGCGTCACGACAAAACCAACATAGTGGGTTTGCGACCAGCATGGATCCAGATCAGCCTGCGCACCCGCGCAGTCTGATCAGGATCCATGCTGTTCGCTTACCAACTCTATTACAAGTGGAGAAACTGACAGCGAACATCATGGATCCTGATCAGACTGCGCTGATGCGAAGGCTGATCTGGATCCATGCTGGTCGCAAACGCACTATGTTTGTTTTGTCGTGACGCGGCTCATATTTGATTTGTTAATCGTCGGGGTTTTCTAAATACATTATGCTCATGGAATTCATGAATATTACGTACACTAAATAAAGATATATGTACAATATGAAAAGTGAAGTACATTGGGGAAATGGTTAACAAGCTTTTGATGGGTGTCTTTGTCTTGTAATACGATGCTAATAAAGGTATAAGAACTTTGAAAGTGCTAAAGGAAACCATATCACGTAATTTAACATTACTATTGCCAGTATCATATTTTATCATGTTTTTCCAAACATAGAATTGCATTGCCTCATCAAGTTCATAATTAATTGCTCATACTTAATTGATTGCTATGTTTACAGGTATAGGAACCGCCTTGGTTCATCCACCAATCACGGCAACCCTTGGAGAATATTTCCATAAAAGAAGAGGATTAGCAAATGGTTTAGCATTCAGTGGTGCTAGTTTTGGCGGGCTATTATTTGCACCAATCTATTCAGCATTGTTCACAGATTATGGATATGCGGGGACATTTATGATAGTTGCTGGTTTAACATTGAATATCCTCGTGACCAGTGCTTTATTAAGACCAGTGAAATCTTTTGAAAGATATAATCAGAAAGAAGAAGAAATAGAGTGTAAGAATAATCTTGTAAATGGTAAAGCAATTATTAATAACAGTAAAGATGAGAAGTTGATTTTAGACAAGAATTTGTTAGGTCGTTCTAACAGTATTGTTGTAGAGTCAGACAGAAAGAAAACTGACGAATTATTAACGCAGTTGGTATTGGAGAAGGAAAATGGACATTTAGGTGTTATACAAAACAGAGCAATTTTACAACTTAAAGGAGACGATGTAACTTCTGCTTTGAAAATATTTCGTAGTGATTCATACCATCAAAAACTAGCTCCAGATTCGGCTGCTGGGTCTCCGTTGTTACCACGTGACAGAGCTTGGTCTGTTGGGAACAGACGACCAAGGACAGTTTCTCAAAATTCTCATACTTCTCATAAAGGGTTATCGCCCTTGAATAATCTTGTAGAGTCACTGTCGCGGTCACGTGTGGCGTTATATTCAAGTGCTGACGGAATTTGTGGATCTGTTATTGATATCCAAGAAATTCGAATTGAAGACTCCGCAGACGACAAAACCAAAAACGAAAAACCCAGTTTTATTAATAAGTTGAAAGCTTCTTTCGATGTGAAATTGTTCAAGACACCATTATTTCCAGTATTTTTACTCATGGCGGCTATGCTTGCACCGGCCAGTGGTTTAATTCCATTGTTTATAGCTCCTTTAGCCAAAGATATTGGTTTAAGTTCTGATCAGACTGGAATCTTGATGTCAGTTGTAGGTGGTGTTGGAATGTTCTCAAGAATTATGTGTGCCTTATTTGCCGACAGAAAATTTGTGAGATTGAATACACTTTTAGCTGTTGTTTCAATACTGTCTGGGATTATAGCGCACTGTGCTAGATTGTTCACGTCGTTTCCTTTGCTGGTGTTGATGGCTGTGATTATTGGTAAGTTGATTCTTGGTATATAATTGGGGTATTGGTACAAATATTTAAGCAATCTTATATTTTGGGGATTTTAAAGGTTTTCAATTATCAAATTAAGGCAATAATTCTTTTAATATTATTCTTTTCAGAACTCTGTATCCAAAACTTTTTGACGTAATCTAGGACCAACTCCCAGACATAATTAAAGTGTTTAAAAAAACATTTGTGTAAAAGTACGGAAAAACAAGTGTAAAAAGCTATATTTGTATAAAAAGTACGGAAAACATATTTGGTATATATTACACTCTTAATAATATATATATTTTGCAGGCTTGTGTGTGGAGATATATCAGTCGATGTACCCCGTTATTCTCGTGGAGTTTTTAACTTTACCCAAGTTAAAGAGTTGTATAGGATTCACGTTATTATGTCACGGGCTAGCTGTTGCTGCTACCTTTCCTGTTGTTGGTATGATCACATTTATCCATTATATTTGAAACCATTTACTTTAAAGTGGATTGGTCTACAATTGGCACATAACAAAGCAATAAATAATGTATCATTTGGATATTCCTACACAATATTGTTGATAAAGTTCTAAATGCTTAAGTATTTTTGTTTCTTTACAGGCAGTAAATACAAAGTGGTGCCAACGATGTAAAATAGACACTGGTGTAACCGTTTCCAAATGTGTCTTTAAGTTTGTGAAAAGAAAATGTTTTAGTTTACAATAATATTTTTTATTTCATAAGGTTTGTCAAAATGTCAGATGCTGAATTCACCATTATTATTTCAGGGTCGCTGAGAGATTCCACCGGAAGTTATTATGCGTCATACCATTTCCTGGGAACCATGTCATTCGCTGGTGCCGCTTTTGCATTGTCATTGCCATATTTTCATAGAAGACAGCAACAAACTCATGTGTAACTTATGACATAGAGTTCAATTCCAAAGGCGGCAATGCATATGGTTTTCAGTTCAGCTACGCGCCTAGTAATGACATAGTTTATGATGTTTAAAAATAGCCACCACAGTATCATAATTATGTAAATATTGGTATAGGAAAGTATTTCTAAGAACTGTGTATAAATATTTTGGTAAAAATATGTACAGTTGAAAGTAACAAATTACAATTAACGCTGCGTTCCCAGTGCGGACTTGCGTATCGTCTTCAGTTCAGCTACGCGCTGTAATGACTTACTTTATATTTTACAATGATGCCCACCTCAGTTTCTTATGTAGATTTTTGTTTAAGAATTCTTTATAAATATTTTGATAAAAATATGTACATTTGAAAGTAACTGCTTTAATTTTGTAAATTTATTGTTCATGACATTTTATTTGTTATAACTATATATATACATTTTGGAAGGATCGTGGTGTTCAATTTTGTTTTGACCCCCACCCCCACAAAAAATGAAAGAGAACAGCATTCGCTGCTCAATTATGATAACTATAGAGTGATACAGCGGTCAGATTCAGTATTACATGTACTCCCATTTTGTGCGAGTTGTTTTCTTCTTCACAAGACAACCAGGCTAGTGATATGTATATGATATATATTATGCTTTCGCAAATACCGAAAAATTTAAGTTTTTTCTTATTTCATTTTATGCATGTTTCATATCGTTAACATGAATGTTGCAAGCAAAACTTAAACATAAAGTTATCTGAATTTACAAAGGGCCACAATTCAGTCAAAGTCCGTGTCAGAATTATGGCCCTGGGATAGTGACCTCGAATTATGATCCCAAATACATATATTAAGTTTCAAGTAAATATGCATGCAAAACTAACCATGAATTTTCTAAGTTCGATAAAATCCATGTCAGGATAATATGCCTTTTAAACGACCTTTCATTATGATCACACACATTTATTACGTTTTAAGTGAATGACTTTACTTGTTTAAAGGATAATGTTGTATGCAACAATATAACCAAAATCAATGGTAGAGTTATGGACCTTGGATAGTGACCTCAAATTATGAAGTTTTAAGAGAATACTTTCTGAAGTTTAAAAAAATTGATGTTGCATGCATAATTTGAAACAAAAAATGACCATCAAAAGGGTTAATCAACCTCGACGCCGACGAGTATGGTTCATGACAATAGCTCCGCTTTTTCTTCGAAATGTGGAACTAAAATCAGTTGAAATATTAGTATTAGTTTCATCCATATCAATAAAACTGTGGTGCAAAGTCGTTTTAGCCATTTTGCTACAACAGTTTCTTTAGTATAGAATAACAGAATAACAGAAGTTTGCTGGATCTTGTACATAGTAGAATTGAGACCGAAAGATTTTAGCAATATTTGTTTTGAATGACTGTAGTAATAAGAATCAGACATTATTTAAGGAACGATCTGGTACCTAATTAAATCAGGTGATCTTCAGTAAGAAGCTGAATAACATATCGTAATATAATTGTTAGCTTAGTGTAAAATTATCTAATTGCAGCAAATACACGAAAAAATATACAAATGATAACTAGTATATAACAAAAAGCAAATGGCTTTGGCAAAATGCTTTTGTTACATTAGAATAAGCCCTTCACAGAAATTAATACCGGTATCATTGAAAAAATACTTTAAGGGCAACTATAATTGCTTTTAACATGTATTTTTATTTCGTCTTTACCCGCGATGCACGATGGTACGACGGTGAAAACGCGATGGTACGATGACACGATGATGAAAACACGATGGTACGATGGTGAAAACGCGATGTTATATCGCGTTTTCAACATCGTACCATCGCGTTTTCAACATCATATCATCGCGTTTCAACATCGTACTATCGCGCCATCGCGATTTCACCATTGTACCATCGCGTTTACATCATCGTACTATTGTGTCTTCACCATCGTACCATCGCTATATTTAGAAACAGCCGTTTATATAGGGCCATATAACCTGTCAGCATCTTTATAACTAATAATATACACGTATTTTCTCAGAAAATTTGGTTAACAAAGGGCTTAACTCTTAACAGTAATAAGTTGATTGCAGCGAATATCGAACTAGCCAAAGTTTTGATATAATATACTTAAAGGTCAAATATAAAATAAAAAGTTATCCTACGGAAACCAATTGTCTACGGACAGACGGACGTACGTTCCAACGAGACAGAACAAGAAGTTCCATGTTTTCTCTATTTATGGATTGGTTACAGAATGAATGATATCAAAGAAAATGTACAATTACCTATTGTTTCTGTAGCCACATATGAATTATCTCGTAAGTGCGGACGGACAGACAGAAGGACAACGTCACACTATAAAACGTCCCGAAATTTGTCCGGGCCTTGAAAGTTAGTCATGATTTAAATGAATTTTGTAAATTTCTATGAGGTTGATTTTGTTTTCAAATTCGGATTAACACCCATATACGACTTACGGTCTCTTCTATTGCAGTTGAAAGAATGCAATTAAAACATACACCTTCTTGTCTGAAAATTCAAGGCCTAGAGTTTGATATTTGGTACATGTATATGATATCATCTACCAAAGTTTTTCAAATTTTGCCCCTAGTGTGAAAATTGGTCCCACCCAGGTGTCATAGGTTTTCCTTAAAACTGTATATTCTAGACTGTAATTTACATATCTTTAACAACTGTTCCTCTATAGTTTGCCGAATGTAGCTCTAACATTTCAATTCTGTGTGTCAATTTAGTAGAAGAACAAGCACATGTTTAACAAATAGGATCTGTGCCAAATGTATACACCTACCTAGCTCTGAGCCTGTAAATTAAAAGCGCTTTTATTTGCTTCTAAAAGGAAATACAAAAATCTATCAAAATGCCCCTTTTTCTCTTCCCCTCGGTACATGCACATTGTAGAGAAGGCAATTTTTTTACCAAGGTTAAGATTCGAGCGCTGTTATTGTACATAAAAGGTAGGTCCTGGAGACAAAACTACCCCTTCGTCGCTTGGGAGTAAAGCTTCCATTGCAACCTACGACTCAGCAGCTGTCGAGGTCCTGACTAAAGCCGAGGGGAGCGGCTCTACAAAGTAAGAAAGTGTCTAGATAACGAATTTTAAAAAAAAAAACTACAACAAAAAACAATACCGTACTATGTCGCTAAATTTCTGACCTGTCACAATAACATTTTTAAATAATAATAATAATAATAATAATAATAATAATAATAATAATAATAATAATAATAAAAATACATGTATAAGTAATTACAGACCTTAAAATGATGATGACGAAGATGATGATATACCATATTTGCCATGCCTCACGATTTATATGCTAAACGAATGCGCGCGACGTCATGGAACGGAAACACGTCATTGACGTCACGTCCATAGATACAGCTTCTTATTTACGTTGGTAGTAACTTCAGAAAAAGTCGCATTGTTTCCAAGTGAAACTTTTTTAAAAAATATGCTTAACTGACAACATGGAATTTACACAAGATTCGTAAGTATTTCTACATTTATATTTACAATTGTAGGCCTACACTTAACTTTTATAATCGAATTTTATAACGGTATATGGTTAAAATAAAATATTTGATATTCGATTGACGTGCACGTTTCAAATTTTGACAGATGATAATTTTGTAACATATGGGCTTGCTACAAGTATATGGCTTTATGTGTTTGGTTAAGGTTGCATACCTCCAGGTGAGCCAACAATTCATTAAAGTCAAAATTGACAAAATGTATTTAGATTTTAAGAAAACTAAATAGAGGATATTGAATGAGTGTGAGTTCAATACTAAATTTATTGCACGAGTTGAATAAAATTATATAGAGGATATTTGTTTGTTTTGCATGTATGATTGAAATATAATTTCACTGAGTGAACACAAGATGCAATATTTTCACGAGTGGCGTAGCCACGAGTGAAAATATAACAGCTGGTGTTCACGAATGAAATATATTTCAATCTTATATGTAAAACAAATAAATTTTCTTTTTATTTCATGCTTTTTGAGTGATTTTAAGTATTTTTTACTGATTTTGCCGCGTAACGTCACGCATTGTAGGAGCACATTTGTCTCGGAACACATTTGTCTCACGAAGTGTGACCGATGTGTTCGTAAACATTCATATTTGCGACAAACTGGAAATGAGACAGATGTGTTCGACACACAATAGAAAGGACACTCGAAACACATTTGTCTCACATTTTTTCCATAAAATTCTTAAAAAGGTAATAATTATGTCCATCTGTATACCGGCTACCAGCCATTGTTCTGTGTTTTCTGCATTTATAATACCGTTTTGAGGTCACTTCCGGTCAGTCAAAAACTTCATGCCTCTGCATAGGAGTCATATATAAAATTAAAAAATATCCTTGTTCTGCATGTCACATTGAAAATTTCTACAAGTGCAACATTCAGAACCTAAACATCTATGCAGCAAGTCTAATCATATCGTTTTCATCAGAAATATATGTATAAAAAGTCGTCATTTTCCAAGAATTGCGGCTTTCAGATTCGCCATTGAAAAGACACTTACAACATGCATGAGTTCCTAAAATAATCCGGGTAATGACATAATTATGGAATATCGGGCCACTCAGAATCGGGCGAGACGCGACATTCCGATGAGACACGAAGCGAGGCACGATATTGTAACAGTAGATCTCGCAATGTCGAAGTATCCCGTGCCAATTAAGAGATTTCAGAAATGAATAAATCTTTACTTCTTTAGATAGGGCAAGTATGAACTTATTAATATTCAAATAATGATTTCTGAGGAAGTTAGATGCTTGTAACCCAAAGAAATGTGCGATAAATGTGAAATAATGCGTCATAAAAGTAGCAAAATGTAAACAATGTAGTACTTTGACTTCAATACAAAATTCTAAATTTCTTCAACTGTACAAACTGCAAAAAAGCAGCAGATGATTATGATTCGGGTAATTAGCCAATGAGTTACTTTTTAGAGCTAAAAAGTATACCAAAAATAAAAAACTTTTGAGGAATAAAAATAAAAGCATTTCTCAGGCATAATGGGCCTTTAAGTGATTTTATGTAGACTATAAAGGGAATACTACTTAGCGAGCGGTATATGACCTGGAATCAATTTCTTGTCTCACGTCGACGAACGGGATGCGAAGCGAGATGCGAGATTTCGCGAGTCGCGAGATTTCGGCGAAATGCGAAACGAGTCACGATATTGTATCATTCAATATCAACCGATTATGGTGTTCCGTTTGGACATAAGTAACATTTTTGTCTCCCTGAACAGCTATGCACAATGGTACAAAGGTGAAATTGAGATGGTACGATGGTACGATGATTAAAACACGATGGCACGATGGTGAAATCACGATGATGCGATGACACGATAGAGAAAATAATATCGCGTTTTCATCATCATGCCATCACAGTTTCATCATAGCGTACCATAGTATT